CCTTTTTTTCCCCCTTGATTTCGTTGTACTGTATTAAATTTTATTTTGGGTTAAATTTACATAAGCTTTTATCGGACACAAAAGTTTAAACGTTGTATCCAGTAACTGAAACTACTCTTTCCCTCTCTGAATCAAACCTGATTACCTAACTTTTCCCAGGCAGGTAAGTTCCACCGTCAATAACATGTTACTTTTTCCATTATACTCTACCTTATCCATAATTACTATCGCATTTGCTTTGTCTATTTCGTAAGGTGAAGTCCAGGATCTTTCCTTAATTCATGGTATAACTTAACAAATCTTTGAGGATAACTGTGTTGCAGAAGTCTGAGTTTTGCTCAGAGGTGTTGCAGAGGTCGAGCTTTGCTCAGTATGTACTCATCTATTTGTGGTTGCAAGAGTCGAGACTCAGCTCCTGGCCCCGCCTCTTCACTGATCGCTACTAGGTCCTTTCTCACTCTCTACTTCCTGGGCTTTGTCATACCTCGTCTAAAAGCTATGTATGGTTCCTGCCTCCAGTACATCACTTGCTAGGGTATTCCACTTCCTGATGACTCTATGACTGAAGAAATATTTCCTAACTTCCCTTTGACTCATCTGAGTCTTCAACTTCCTGTTGTGACCCCTTGTTTCTGTGTCCCATCTCTGAAACATCCTGTTTCTGTCCACCTTATCTATTCCTCGCAATATTTTATATATCATTATCATGTCTCCCCTAATGTATTTGCTTTAAGTTTTATAACCTGCATGAACTGTATCACTGTAGGCAACAAGAGCATTTCACCCCTCCATGGAAGATGTGTTCATTTAATATCACATACCTGCAAGTCCCTCCCAAGAAGCTCATTGCTAGTAATCCCTTCCTTAAATCACTTGTTAAAGCAACTGCTCAAGAAGAAATTTCTCACCTAGCTGGTAGTAATAAGTTATCACAAGTTATATACACTGATGGATCTAAACAGGAGTCTTCTGGCAGGGTTGCATCTGCTCTTGTTGCCACCTCCCTTGTTAAAAACGATAATAAATTTGTTGAGTTAGGCATAAGAATTAACAACTGGGCGTCTACACTGCAAACTGAATTGTTTGCAATCCTAATGACCCCTCAAGGAAGGTTCCTTGATGTTGGTGAGGGGCTCTTGATTTAGGAAATTGGATCTGTGCTCCAGTTCCCCGAATTAAGCCTGAATGCCTTCCACATCCCCCCCCAGGCGCTGTATAATCCTCCGGGTTTAGCGCTTCCCCTTGATTATAATAATAATAATGCAATCCTAATGGCGCTAAAACTAACTTATGACACTGAGCTTGACTCTATCATCATTACTGATTCTATGTCATCATTGAAGGCTCTTGGCTCATACAATGACTCCAACAACATGCTCATTGGAGAAACCAGGTATAGATACTCAAAAATCAGGGACAAAGGAATTAATGTACAATTGCTATGGATCCCATCACACATTGGATTACTCCTTCATGATAAAGCTGACATGTTAGCGAAGAAGAGTATCCAGAAGGAGAATGTAGAATATAACTTTGGTATAACTGTGTCTAGCATTAGGAATAATATTAGGAGAGAAGTAAATAATGAAAATTATTGTTATAGGAATGCAGTTAGAAGCCTGAGTAGATCTATAACCCACTATGATAACATGAATGTAGATAAGTATGTTTATGTAGCAACTTGCAATGTGAACAGACTGACTGATGTTGTAGTGGCCAGGCTTAAAGTTGGTTACAAGTACTTCTGGCAGTTTGGGAGACATGCAGATAATGATCAAATTAAATACAAATTATGTGATCAGGTATATGGTCACTGTCTTGAACAGTATGTGCTGAATTGTCCACTTATTGAGGAATACAGAGACAGACAGTATAATAACCTATGTGACATGTCAAGATACCTTATTAATGAAAATAAGATACCAGATATACTAAGCAAATTTCCTAAATTTGCATGTAACAGATAAGTGAACTGTAGATATGTAGATAAATAAAAACCCATATGCACGCCTGTTAACCCTTTTGGGGCCTAGTTCCTAGGCCTTTTGTGTATCCATATGCTCTTGCGCTACCGTCCACAGGATGGATATGGGGTACACAATAAACTAGCCACTTCGGTGGCAAAATCTAAATCTAATCCCCTAACCCTCCTGTCCTCCAGTGTCATCAGGCCTATTTCCCTTAACCTTTCTTTGTAGGACATTCCCCTTAGCTCTGGAACTAGCCTTGTTGCAAACCTTTACACTTTCTCTAATATCTTGACGTGCTTGACCAGGTGTGGTTTCCAAACTGGTGCTGCATTCTCCAGTATGGGCCTGATGTACAGGGTATACAGTGTCTTGAACGATTCCTCACTGAGGTATCGGAAAGCTATTCTCAGGTTTGCCAGGCGCCCATATGCTGCAGCAGTTATCTGGTTGATGTGTGCTTCCGGAGACGTGCTCGGAATTATACTCACCCCAAGATCTTTCTCCTTGAGTGAGGTTTGCAGCCTTTGGCCACCCAGCCTATCCTCTGTCTGCGGTCTTCTTTTCCCTTCCCCGATCTTCATGACTTTGCATTTGGCTGGGTTAAATTCAAGTAGCCAGTTGCTGGACCACGTGTCCAGCCTGTCCAGGTCTCTTTGGAGTCCTGCCTGATCCTCATCTGATTTAATTCTTCTCATTAACTTCACATCATCTGCAAACAGGAACACCTCTGAGTTTTCCCTTCCATCATGTCATTCACATATACCAAAAACAGTACTGGTCCTAGGACTGACTCCTGTGGAACTCCACTCGTCACAGGCGCCCATTGTGATACCTCATCTCGTACCATGACCCGTTGTTGCCTCCCTGTCAGGTATTCTTTGATCCATTTCAGTGCTCTTCCTGTTATACGTGCCTGATCCTCTAGCTTCTGCACTAATCTCTTGTGGGGAACTGTATCGAAGGCCTTCTTGCAGTCCAAGAAAATACAGTCAACCCACCCCTCCCTCTCGTGTCTTACTTCTGTTACCTTGTCATAAAACTCCTAGAGGTTTGTAACACAAGATTTGCCTTCCATGAATCCGTGCTGGTTGTCTTTTATAATCTTGTCCGTTCCAGATGCTCCACCACTCTTCTCTATGACGTTGCATACTATACACGTCAGTTATACTGGTCTATAGTTTAGTGCTTCGTTTCTGTCTCCTTTCTTAAAAATGGGAATTTCATTTGCCGTCTTCCATACCTCAGGTAGTTATCCAGTTTCGAGGGATGTGTTGAAGATCGTGGCTAGTGGCACACACAGCGTCTCTCCTCCCTGTGTGTGTGTGTGTGTGTGTGTGTGTTTGTGTGTGTGTGTGTGTGTGTGTGTGTGTGTGTGTGTGTGTACTCACCTAGTTGTACTCACCTAGTTGAGGTTGCAGGGGTCGAGTCCAAGCTCCTGGCCCCGCCTCTTCACTGGTCGCTACTAGGTCACTCTCCCTGAACCTTGAGCTTTATCATACCTCTGCTTAATGCTATGTATAGATCCTGCCTCCACTACATCGCTTCCCAAACTATTCCACTTCCTGACTACTCTGTGGCTGAAGAAATACTTCCTAATATCCCTGTGATTCATCTGTGTCTTCAACTTCCAACTGTGTCCCCTTGTTGCTGTGTCCCATCTCTTGAACATCCTGTCTTTGTCCACCTTGTCAATTCCTCTCAGTATTTTGTATGTCGTTATCATGTCCCCCCTATCTCTCCTGTCCTCCAGTGTCGTCAGGTTGATTTCCCTTAACCTCTCCTCGTAGGACATACCTCTTAGCTCTGGGACTAGTCTTGTTGCAAACCTTTGCACTTTCTCTAGTTTCTTTACGTGCTTGGCTAGGTGTGGGTTCCAAACTGGTGCCGCATACTCCAATATGGGCCTAACGTACACGGTGTACAGGGTCCTGAACGATTCGTTATTAAGATGTCGGAATGCTGTTCTGAGGTTTGCTAGGCGCCCATATGCTGAAACAGTTATTTGGTTGATGTGCGCTTCAGGAGATGTGCCTGGTGTTATACTCACCCCAAGATCTTTTTCCTTGAGTGAGGTTTGTAGTCTCTGGCCCCCTAGACTGTACTCCGTCTGCGGTCTTCTTTGCCCTTCCCCATTCTTCATGACTTTGCACTTGGTGGGGTTGAACTCCAGGAGCCAATTGCTGGACCAGGTCTGCAGCCTGTCCAGATCCCTTTGTAATTCTGCCTGGTCTTCGATCGAATGAATTCTTCATCTGCAAACAGGGACACTTCGGAGTCTATTCCTTCCGTCATGTCGTTCACAAATATCAGAAACAGCACTGGTCCTAGGACTGACCCCTGTGGGACCCCGCTGGTCACAGGTGCCCACTCTGACACCTCGCCACGTACCATGACTCGCTGCTGTCTTCCTGACAAGTTTTCCCTGATCCATTGTAGTGCCTTCCCTGTTATCCCTGCTTGGTCCTCCAGTTTTTGCACTAATCTCTTGTGTGGAACTGTGTCAAACGCCTTCTTGCAGTCCAAGAAAATGCAATCCACCCATCCCTCTCTCTCTCTCTTGTCTCTCTTGTCTCTGTGTGTGTGTCTGTGTGTGTGTGTAGTATGTGTCTTAATAAGCACCTGCCGTGGCCGGCTGGTCGTAGTTGCTGCTTCACTCCCAGTAGCTAGGATGAATCCGTCTTAGTATTAGCGATTATCTTCGCATTTCACCAAGCCATGATGTGTTATGAATTTTATTCATGCCTTAATATAGGCGTGTTTGTTGTGATAGGTGAAATATATATTGTTGTTAAACTGTTGCAAACACATACTAAACAATTTATCCATGATGACTGGGAAATAAATTCCAAGCATGTTCATGATCTTTCAGTCAGTTCTGTTTATGTTTAAGAAAACGATTTAGAAATCATTAAATGCTAGGAATTTATTTCCAATTCATTGTGGTTAAATTGTTCATGGGTATACAAGTTATGTTAGGACTTGCCATGTAAAAATCACCGATAGCTTCACTTAATAGTTTGTATTGTACAGGCCAGTTGTGTGCGAGGTGTCGGCCGCTAAGCTGGGAGAGTTTGGTGTTTACCTCCTCAACTTGACAGAGGAAAGCAATTGTACCTTCTCTACACTCAAAGATCCGGTCTTCGAGTACGGAGGTCAGCAACAATACTTAAAACTTTTATAGTTCTGGTAAATGTGTCGTATACATATATTGATTCACAGCTGAAGTGTTCTTTCTTTTTAATTCATATGCACTACTCTTCCCTTATACTTCATTACAGCAACATCCACCATCACCTTCTCTCACTATTTCCACCAAAAAAACCCTCCCTCACCAATACTACCCTCCCTCATCACCACCACAGTGAATAACTTAATGTCTGCCGCAGCAATCGTCATCGCCGTAGCTGTGTATGCAGGGTTGGCCATCCTGGCTGCTGGCTGCCTCGCCCTCTACCAATGGATGCTTAGGAGGTACACTCACAGTCGAGATGACGGCTCCCAGGTCAGTATAGGTACGGTACATTGGATCATGACAAACACACACATCAGGCCAAATGTCTATCGACAAGGGCCTCTGATACCTAGTAACCACTACTACTATTAAAACACACACACAGTAAAGACCTGATAATCAGGAGAAAGCTCACAACAGAGAAGTCTGGGACGTGTTGAACAAACGATTGAAGACGTGTTCTCAGTCGAAACAAGGCAATGCCAGAAAATTTATCGAAAATGGCAAACTGACAACAGGAATAATATTATTATTACTATTATCATCAAATTACGCGGCAAAACAAGTGTCATGCAACTCACACGAATTTTTTTTTTACTGGTGGTGGATACATCAAAAGCAGTGTGGTTGAGGTAACTCATAACGATTCAGTGTGGTTGAGGTAACTCATAATGATTCAGTGTGGCTGAGATAACTCATAATGATTCAGTGTGGCTGAGGTAACTCATAATGATTCAGTGTGGCTGAGGTAACTTATAATGAAACCTTGTGTATGGCAGGTGGAGCTACAGATGGCGGGGTCGACCACAACAATACGGGAGACTGACAAAAGCAACACCACACCACCACCAGCAGCACCCAAACCTCGTCTTAAGTCCCTGGACACCTTCAGAGGGTAAGCTGTTCTCCTAGCTAGTCGCTTCCCTCTATTTCTCCTCCTCTTCCTCTCTCCTGCTTTTCGAGAACCCGGGCTACATGAACAGAACTTTTGTATCGCTATTAATGGACGGAGGATCAAACCTCATCGCCTCCTTGCCATGAATGAAACTCATACGTTTAGTGCTTTGTATACACTAATAAAAAATTACTACTACTACTACTAATAATAATAATAATCCTTCTTTCGCTAAAATCCTGGCTATACCTCAGTGATATATGTTGCATACTGCTTCTCTTCTACCACTTCTGTGCTGTTTGCTCACCTGAATAGTACATGTATACTCTACTACAGGATGAGTATCGTCATCATGATCTTCGTCAACTATGGCGCCGGGAACTACTGGTTCTTGGAACATGCTACCTGGAATGGTCTCCAGGTAGCCGACCTCGTCTTTCCTTGGTGAGTCTTTCTTCATATCAATCCCACGACACATCAGCCTCACCAACAGCAGATAACAAGCAGTATAAAGATGTGTTAGTGTATACTCTATGATTAGGAAATTTAGTTTATAGTCTTTTTTTTTTTAAGAAAAGTTTTTAAACACATTATTGACAGATACATGCAGTTTCAGGACACGCAGATTCTTGACATACATGTCAGTAGTGAATGTAGTAAAATGGAATTATATGTATTTCGACAGGTTCATGTGGATTATGGGGGTTTGTATACCAATGGGACTTCGCTCTGCTCTACGCCGCCAGACTCCTAAACCAAAGATATTTTTCAGGATTCTTAAAGTGAGTCCTCTATACTTTGGTCTCCCCAGTCTTTATCCTCTTCCCCACCGTCATCCTTTCATCTCTGCTTTTTCTTTTTCCCCATTAATTTCCACATACGTATCTTATATCAAGTTTATATTCAATAGTCCTCATCTCGTGGATCATTTCTACGATAATTTTCTCTATACCATATTTTATCTGTTTTTTCCCTCTACCGATAAATGAGAATCATTCTATTTTGGATTTTCCTAAGTCATCTGCTGTGCTAACCACGTCTCTTAGATGAGATGATAATCAGTGAACCATCATGCAAGTTAAAATTTTACACTTCCGTGAACGTGGTGTTCCATCATATGTGATCTAATCTGGATCAGGAAGGTGAAGCTTCCCTAACCTCTGGTAACCCGGGTTTGATCCCACGTTATTTACTCCTTCCTGACAGTGTAATCTCGTCAGGGTGTGAGATGGTGCTTTATCTCATAACTTGCCAGTAACTAATTACTAACTTTCCTTGCCCCTCGGCATCAGCGATCCATCAAACTGTTTGTGCTGGGCATCATCCTCAATTCTCTGGGAGGGTGGATCTGGCTGGACAAGTACCGCGTGCCTGGAGTTCTTCAGCGCTTTGCCATCACTTACCTGGTCACTGCCGGTGTGGCTTTAGCTCTCTCTCCTGACAAGCCGCCCCAGTACCAGGTGAGTGCTGCTGCTGCTGCTACTGTCTCTACCGACCCCCAGTACGAGGTGAGTGCTGCTGCTACTGTCTCTACCGACCCCTAGTACCAAATGAGAGCTGCTGCTGTCTCTACCTGCCCCAAGTACCTGGTGAGTGCTGCTGCTACTGTCTCTGCCGATCCCCAGTACCAGGATCATTAAGGCTACATGTCATCTGTACCCCACTAATACAGGGACTAAAGAAAACTTATATATATATATATATATATATATATATATATATATATATATATATATTATATAATATATATATATATATATATATATATATATATATATATTTAACAAGTCGCCGTGTCCACCGAGGCAGGGTGACCAAAAAGAAAGAAAATCACCAAAAAGAAAATACTTTCATCATCATTCAACACTTTCACCACACTCACACATTATCACTGTTTTTTGCAGAGGTGCTCAGAATACAACAGTTTAGAAGCATATACGTATATAAATACATGTGAGGGAAAAGTTCAATAATAGAATAGAATATAGTAACTATATTATTATATAATATATATAATATATATATATATATATATATAATATTATAATATTTACAATGCGGCG